GGTCGTACCCAGTGCACAAGGCCCCGCTTTACGCAGGGTCTGGGAGAGGTGAATGTCGGCTAGCCTTACCCCCATTTATGGAGAGGATGAGTTCAAAAAATTATGTGTTTAAGATACACAAACTTATCATCAAATTTTGATACATGTCATGTTTCAACTGAGATTATTTTGTCACTCAGCATTGTCACGTGACGAGAACAGCTCCACTAAAAGTTTTTCTCGAGTCCCTACTCGAGTTTTGATGGGATGAATGTGATTCAAAATAGTTTTGATACGTACTTTAATATCAGGAGGGCCGGAAGAGAGAGCTAACAGAAATGTAATTCGTACCAAAGGTTGAGGAGTTGAAGGTAGTCCAACCATCAACGAAACTATGGTTTCCGGTAATGACAGTGTTATTAATACCATCTCCGAGCAGCATTATGTTAGTCTTGCGTTTGGTGATGACAATGTACTCTTGATAGTATCCTCCTCTAACATAGATCACAAAGTAGCCATCTTCAGCCTGTAAGTTCTTGGGAGCAGAAGTAATGGCATCTCCAATCGATGTGAAGTTGTCCGTACCATATGGACTCACAATCACTGTGTTATTAACCAGAATACCACTACTCTCCATTTCTTCAAGAATCCTCTCACCTCTTTCGGGAGTCGTCGATTTTTTTCCAGAACTTTTCCGAAGTGCCTGCCATTTAATTACTGATTCAAATTAATTCTTCCTTAGTTACTCACTAATCTCTACGTAATCACTTGTTCTTTTATAGATAACTGAGGTTCTGTTTAACATGCCGTCTTTGGACACCAAGTATTTTTGAAGACGCATAGCTAAAATTTAAGCATTTTTGGAACACCAAAACATAATTAACACAATATCAAGACCAACCTTTGAAATATACTTATTACCGAAGTCACTTATCAATATACTTATTACCTTGATAACATGTGTTAAGAGTATTTTATGTCATATGAGATGGGAGGTGAGTCACCAGAAAATAAAAGGATGGGTGGTGGTGGTGGTGGCGGCAGCGTGCTGGATTTGATGGGGGACGCCATTGGCGGTGCAAATGCCTTGCGATATGCAGAAACCACGTTACTTGCTTACAAGTCCCGTACAATAATTGACAAAGGGCACTTGGCCAAGCCCTCTTATTTAGTTGACTCCATTACTCCAGATCTAGCTACTTCAATCACACGAAAGACCTAGTTGACTTGAATAAACAATTAAGAGTAATACTATTCATACCATATTTTTGTATCACATTTTCATACCACTTTAGATGGCATTTGATGTGGACAGCCACATCATTTGAATTAATCAGATTTTTAAATTTACTTCATTATTTAATATACTAATAATTAAGAAAAAACTAGTTAATTAAATGATGATTGTGGTATACAAGGAGTCTTTCTCCTTCATTTCCTTGGGTTTTGCAAATTTTTCAAATGATGTGGCTGTCTACATCAGATGTCACCTAAGGTCATAGAGAAATATGGTATAAAAACATGATATAAATAGCATTACTCAACAATTAATACCCTAAACTGAGATCTTTGTGGACCACTGGATAGTAAATATGCACATTCAACTTAATACACATTATTTTAATACTATTTGAAGAAGGTTGGGTGTAGCTTAACTGGTTTAAATTATGAGAAATGATACACACACATTGTTTTTAATCTTTTATACGCCCATGTTTAATTATGACTATTAATTTAGTAGGATTTATTCAATCTAATGGTTAGAAATAAAAAATGGTGTGAAAATCACTTTTCTAAAATATATCGTCCATTAAACAATCAGAAAAGGTTGAATAAAAAATATACAAGTTAATTAAAAAAACTCAATTGTTCTTTTTATTAGGAAAACTCTAATATATAGTGTAACAATGGGTTTACAACTTCATTATAATTATTTAAATGAAAAGTGGAAATTTAATATATTCACCTTTGTGTAAATGTCAATATTACAGTGTTATGTAAGTATAACTTGTTCATTTTAGAACTAACATAAGATTCATCTAACCCCACAATAATAAAAATTTAAGTATTTTGCCCATTTGTAAATAAAAAATTCCTACTTTACTCTATAATTTTTTTCCGACCCTACAATGTTATGTAATATGTCTTGCTTTGTTTGTTGGCATCTGGTGTCACATCCCAGATCCGGAAAGAGATCATTTCCAGATCATTTCCTTTAAAGTTCACACATTAAGTGATATGGGTTCTTAAAATTTGATCCAATGCTAAATAGAGAAGTTAGTAAAAAATTTTAAAATTTATAATAATTTTTTACTTTTGGATCAGATTTCAAAGGTCCAAATCAATTGATCCATGAGTTTTGAAAGAAGAGATCCGGAGAGGATCTCCTTCCACCAGATCCTATATATTGTATCTGCCATTGTGGCACCTTTTATAAATAGTTTAATCACATGTTAACTTGGTTCCGAATTACAATTGTATATAGTTCCACTTCATGCATAGATCTTGAACAAGATTTTATTACCCAATATTCCAACAAAACTATAAGCATGTAGCCTCTGACTATCAGATATGCTACAATATTTTATCCAATTAAATATCAAAACATCAAAATTAAAACCTTAGCTCGTATAATCAAATATTAAAATTATCACACAAAAAAAAAATGCTAGAAAATGAATTCAAAAGCTTTACCTTAATGAAAGTTTCAAGTGGTTCATGGAATTTGAGCACATTTTTGGTGCCGGAGCCGTTGCTGCCTTTCTTATGCTTTTTGAGATTACGAGCCAAGGAATACGTGACCAACCCAAGCGACACACTATAGAGCTGCGTAACATTAGAGAAAGCCACGGCCAAAGCAGAATTGTTTCCCAAAACGGTGCTCTTGGACACCAGAAGCCCATCGTAACAAGTCTGCTGGTTGGTCACAATGCCGCTCAGCAGCGTCTGCACCTTGTTCACCAGCTCCTCGTTCAGCGACTCGGCGGACTTGAGCTCCGTCGAGGTCGCCTCCAAGTACTCCACGTTCAGCTCCGAGAACTGCTGGCAGTCCTCCAGGGCGTTCACCTCGCTGTCGTTTATGAAAAAGGACTTGTGCTTGGTTTTGCCAAGGAAGTGGTTGATTATTTTGGAGGTTTTGCGTGCCTGTTTCAGGCATTGTTTGATGGAGAACTTGCCGTAGTTGTAGGGATCGGAGGGTGAGTAGCGGATGGTAGAGAGGATGGAACGGCAGAGCTTTGGGTAGAGGGTGGACTTGCATGCTGAAGAGGCTGATGAGGGGGATGATGCAGCAGCAGCAGTTAGCAACAGTAGTGAAAAGAGGAGAAGAGAAGAAAGGAGGAAGAAAGGAGAGAAGGGTAGCCTCGGCATTTTGAGTGTGAAAATGTTTTGCTTTTCGGGGGGCTCTAGGTTGAGTTGAGTGCATGAAAATGTGTGTGTTGGGATCTCATATCTAGATATAAAGAGCGAGAGAGAGACAGACAGAGATGTGAATTGTGGACTGTGGAGTGCCAGAGAAATGCGCGTTGTCGGTTTTGACAATTTAGAGGTCGGCAATTTTAATGCAGAGGTATGCAATGCAGTTGAGGCCCTTGAGGGAGATATTTTTTTACATTACCTGTTATACAAATGGTAGAAAATTTTATTTTTCAAATTATTAAGTTTTTAACACATATATTTTACTATTTGTATAATAATATGTGATGTATCATCTCGTGTTTTTGTCACATTGAAAATCTCTCTAGTTGAGGTGGCAATTCATGAGAACGTGCAAGGAAGGACACACTACTACTGAAGATCCAACCTTTCTGCGCTCAAAATAGGTGTGATCTCTGTGTGGCTCTAATCATTGTTTAATAAATATAAAATTTATAACAAAAAAGCTAAGAAAAATTAAATTTATAAACACGTGTCAAACAATAATTGAGACTATAGAGAAACCACATCCTTTCCTTTTGGTGTAAGATATTTGATCTCCAACTACTCTAGATCCATCGTATTTTTAGGGCTAACTATATTCTTTTCTTTTTTGGGGGGTCATGAAGGGCTACTCGCTACATTCTATATTCTTAAGGTTTGAGCTAGAGTAGTTGTGGATGGAGATTCCGGTGTTTGCTTCCTTGGGCGAGTAGAAAGCCATATTGTTATATAGCTTGCACGCATGCAAGATTGGATTAGGCTTTAGAAGTACAAAAGAAATGAACCCAAAATCGACTGAGATCAATAAAATTAATTGGTTGTGAATGTTGGAGAACAGAGTCTTATATCGATAATATAATAAAGTAATATATATTTTATATATAAAATACTCCATAAAACCCCATACTTAGCTAGCAATACTCGGTTAAGTTGAGGACAATATCGATGATGTTGGTAGATCATACTTCGCCTAAAATTTTATCATTAAATTAGAACATGTTTATTTCTCAACACATTCTGGACCTGATTTACTTGGCTTGAATTATGACTAAGCCTTCAAAAGTCATGTGTTGCTTCTAGTGAATGAATATTGCATACAACATACTAACTAATGAATATAACGTTGAGAACAATATCAATGATGATGGTGGACAACATTGGGCCTAAAAGTCTATCAGTAAAATGGTAAAAGGGATATAAATAGAATCAACTGTATGTCTGGAAAGTTCCCAAGTTATGTGCACGAAACTTTGCCAATTAAAACTTGGGCTTTAAACCCTCAGATCAATTTTTTAACCTAAGTTTGTTAACTATTTATTTGGATCAACTGGACTTGGACTTCTGATTGCATCGGGCCCAAACTAAAATTGGACAAGACTAAGGAGCTTTCCAGATTTATGGAAGATTGATTCGAGTATATTGTCTAATCAGTCAGCCACTAAAACCCCAACCCCATATTGATCCGCTGGCGGTGAATTGATCTGGTTAATAGGATCTTTATTTTTTAATTCATTGTGCTTCAGATTGAAACTCTCTCTTCTTGTTGTCTAACTTAAAATCGTAATATCGCTTGTACTAAGAAAAATCAACAATATACTGCACCATTTACTGGTATATCTCTGTGTATTTGCAGCAAATAAAAATATGGGTACATTCATAATGCTAAATTGCTAATTCAAAATATTGTTGCCAAAAGCATTGAGTTACTCAAAGTAGATAATCTATACTTGCTAAAATTTGATAAAATTGGGTCATATCTAAACATTTTCATAAGCCTTCTTACTTGGTTTTAACTGTTCTTAATCACTTCTGCTAATCCTAGCAAAAATAATAATAACAATAATTATTAAGAGCTACAAAAAGTACACTCTCACAGAGCTAAAAAAGAGATTCTAAAATAAACAACAAATTAATTTAATTTCTTCATGTAGAGCAACATCTATATCTTTGAGCTGTTCATGCAACTGTAATGTTTCAGCCCTTCCTAGGCTTCAACCTGGCACACAAACATTGTCTTGGAGTCAATGCATTTCCAGATGAAAGCATAAGAAGTAATTGCTAATTAACAAGAGCAAAGAAGGAAATTAAGGGAATTAATTGATGAAGATTACTTGTTCTGAGTAGGATTTGGAATGCTGGGAGGTATTCTTCGGAGGCTATCGACTACCGGCTCGACGGTGACGGGCATTTTCTTGTCTGCGTGTGCATGTAGGAGAGCTTGAGAGGATGGTGGATGAACTCTTGCTAGAGCTGTATTACTACAAACTAAATACATGAGTAACAACACAGCAATGATAACCTCAGCCAATGATTTACAGCAGGATTTCATGGTTTTTGTTGACTCAGAGGATGTCTTCTTGCCAGTGCTTGCTCCAATAATTGAGTTTAAGGTTATTTATAACCTCATGAGATCTAGAGAGAGAGAGAGAGAGAGAGAGAGAGAGAGAGAGAGAGAGAGAGAGAGAGTAGTTTCCCTTAACAAGATTTGGTAAATGATTTCCACATCCTTATCTCTCTTCTGTACACCTAACACCTCATTTTATTTTTGTTGTTTGATTATCTTCTGACTTATTTAATTTAATGGCCATAACTAAACAGACGATGAGCAGAAAAAAAAATAATGTGGAAATCACCTCCCGAACATTTGATGTGCTACTGTTAAGTTATATTATTAAATGGAGATTGGATACAGGAGGGTCATGTGATGAATCTTTGACTAGCTTCAGCTTCCAAGTTCCAAAGTTAAATCTCCCGAAGAAAATTTTGCCCATAACTTTTACTTAAAGAGAGCAGTCATGTGATCAGGCACGTGATTAAATTACAGATAATTGGTTGGCAAGCTTTGGATTCTGCCTTTCTGATGAGTTAATTTCAATAATCTGACTTACATTGGCCTTAAATATTTGACACTGAACTTAAAACTAAAAGGGTTCGATTACCAAGGCAATGCCAATTTGAATTCATAGTTTGAAACTGACTGCTGCTTAATATTATAATCCTGTACTTCAACTACCATATGCTGTATTCTCACCTTCACCAGCACCAATCTAAAATGTTTCGCGCAGTTAAATGCGTTGAGATCCTGCTACAGGCTTGTAGCTTTAGTGGTTAGAGCGGTTTTTTCTGTATCTGAGGTTTAGTGTTCAATTCTCATGCACTCTTAATATTGCTCGTATTAAACACAATGAGATAGTGTATTAAACCAGGTAGCTTGTGAGTCAAGCAATTTTGTATTATCTGCTCCATTCTCTTTTGACCCAAATTTAGGCAAAGAGAAATGGGGATGTCTACGAATAAATAATTGTAACTACACTTCGATAAATGATAAGAACAAAGACACCAGAAATTCATACAATAATCTGTCACCTATGCATCTCTGCCCTTCAACTTGTTAGGAAATCCGAATATCAAAAGCCGAGCATCTTCGCTGTGAGAGAACATCCTTCATATTGCACGCCGGAGAAGTCAACCATTTCAGTACAGTACATATATCACTTGTTGGAGAATTATTTACACCTTAGTACTGCAAAAAAACTCTGCATCATCAAACCTACTTCATTTCATTTGATAAATTAAACTGGGTATTTCTTCAAACTTTCAGCGAGTTACGGTTAGCTGTTTAGTACCTGACAATACAAGAGGATAGTCAGGGCAAAGACCTTTAACAGTGGACAATCAAAGAAACTACCAAATTTAGCTATGACTTGCATGTTGTTCAGGTATCTCGCAGTTGGTAAGAGCTCTTCAATTTCGATTTTCATATTAGAGCTAGGCGATCCGTTCTTCGTTTCATTCTCATTAACTACAGCATCCACAAAAAATGTTGCACACACTGGTCGATGGTCAGAGAACCGGGACTCTCCCCTTATGTAAGAAAGTTGTCTAATCCCATTTCCATGCCATAGTATTCTGTCACACCTGCAATTCTAAACTCGTCAAATAAACTTCTTAGTTAAATGTCAATTGGGTTCTGTAAGTACATTCTTCCAATCGACATACCAGGCTGGTGTTCTTCTTTTCTTTTTCGATGTTTTTATCTCTCCGAAATAAGTGTCTGAGTTATAAAAGTATTTGTAAGTAGGTGCAAAGTAGATTTTTCCCTCCTTCCATCCTTTGAATACTCGCCCTGCTTCTCTCTCAATTTTGAGCTATATATGCAACCAAAAACAAATAAAAAATATGAGTATACCATAAGACAATTAGAATGTGACCTGATATGATAGTAAGATCATTTACCTGATCTTTGTCAAGAAGTGCATCCCAGTCATTGTCCACCAAAAGCTTTCGGGTTTCAGAGTAGCTCAAAGCAATGCGGTAATTCAAGTCTCCTAACCATATGACCATACTAGATCCATTTGCAAAGAGATTAATCAGATAATCAGTGCAATAAGTGTGAGAAAGTAGTGTTGGATTATGAAAAGGATTCAGTACTAAATAACAAGGTTGAAAGATACTTACTCATGTCCTAGAATTTTATCTGGCATCCTACTATGAGCCGTTTTGCAAATCTTCGGAAACTGAGTGCTTTTAAGTATCTCTAATACATCCAAATTTCTCCTAAGCTCGTCGCCCTCCTTCTCACCAGATGCCAAATGACTGCAGACAAAGCAAAAGCTTGTCTGATGGAATAAAAAGCTCACAGATATACAGCCCTGAAACCAGTGAACAGATAATTAATGTACTGCAAAAAAGTTATTTGATATCTTCAATCATGTATAACCGACATCTGATGCTTGTAAAAGATTTTAAAGAATACCTTGTTTCCAAGGCATCCCATGATCCCACGACTGATGCAAGAGATTCTCAAGTGGCTAACATATTGTATACACTCTTTCCTTGCCCAAATAGTCACGAAAATTCCTACCATTTGTTTACTTGCTATAAGGCTGTACTTCATTTGGTTGGTAGTAGAGGCCATGGAAATTTCTGATATATCAAAGACATTAGATCCGTCCTCATCCGGTTCTGAAGAAAGGTCGTCTTCGTTTATGTTTGGTTGTTGGCATCTAAAACAAAAATCTTTACTATATTTCCTCTCCAGTTCAAAGGGGCAGTTGCAACTCTTCAACCTCCGTTTGCTCTCTGTCCTAAAAGCCTTACTGACCTTTTTAAGGGAAGGCTTTGATGAAAATCGTGAACCACCTAGGCTGGATTTGCTTGTTGAACACCCCTCAGGTGATTTGTTTAGTGACTGATTAATTAAAGCAAGCCATTTTGCTGCAGGTTCATTATCTTCTAGAACTAGCACATTTCCAGCATTTAACGGAACAATTTCTTGAAAACTGAAGGTAGAAAGCAAAAAATTAATCACACAAACTATCAATATCTTCTACAGAAGAACTTAAACAATATGGAAATACATTTGCACTTTAAAGGTTCTATAAAATTGATATGACAAAACAGAAACTACACGCAGAGCATGAAGTCACAAGTTTCTTTTCACAGCGTGTGCGCACGCGTGTCTGTTTGACACACCATCATATGCTAAATATTAGAACAGGCACGGAGACTCAAAAAACAAGTCCCCAATTATACTATTTCATTTGAAAAAAAAAAATTGATAATTTATCAATTTGAAACTAAGAAAAATCAGAAGGGAAACACAAAGTAGACGAAAGCAAGAAGAAATGAAGAGACCATATACCCCAAGACATATATGTCTGATTCATTATAAACTTGAAGAAAATCATCCAGATTAAGGCCAATATGAGGAGATTTTCCTCCTACATTCCATGTCGCTACAAAAACCCTGAAACAAACAAAAATAAGCGAGAAAACGAAAGCCAAAAGTTAGCGCATATGCATTCTTGTCAAAGGGATAGAAAGATGTTAGCAAGAACTAGTTGTAGAAAATATTCCAATTACCGAAGGGACTGAACGTATTGACCAGCAGGCATTTGAGACCCTGTGTCACTTGTAGATTGAATGTCAACTGCTGGAGTAGACTGCTGTGCTTCTGAAAGAGAAAACAATTACGAAAAGACTTCACGGTAAGATGTCAAATTTATAAGAATTGTAGGTTAAGCAAGACAGAAACTTCCTTTGAAAATTAAACAGGAAGCAGAGACAGAGAGGGTGTGAGAGGGACACTTTTTATGCTTGCTACCTTTCTTACACTAGATTAGATTTCAAACATGAATATATTCTACGTTCAAACCTCCATCACGCTCTCCCTCTCTCTTAACCATCGATATCTTTCTTACCAAAAACGCCATTTTTAGTCCCCCGAATGTCTATATGGTTGGAGTTGGACCACTTAATCGTCCCTATCTTACCCGAAAAAGTTAAAAGAAGAACAAAACCCTTCAAAAAAGAAAAGTAAAATCAAATTCTTCAAAAAACAGATGGGATTCTCTATCTGCTTTCTGTATCCAAAAAGAAAGATAACATCAACTACAATATGAGTCCCCAACTGCAAGGAGTATCCTCTCTCTCTCTCTCTCTCTCTAGATTTTCTCCAATAGAAAACAATGGGGATAAGTGATTGGATTGAAACCAGAAAGAAATTCATTAGTCTCACCGAAGAAATCCGATGAGCCGCTTCCTTCTCTCTCCTTTGTGGTGAAAATTTTATGAATGAAAGACTGAAACAAAAGGGTTAAACACAAAATTCAATTAATTAACAAAATCTGATTAAAAACACCATTTTCTTTGCAAAAAGATCCAAAAATATTTATCTACAAAATAGAAAAGAAGAAGAATTTGGAAACAAAAATAAGAAAGGGAACCTTCTTTTTCACGTAATGTTTGCTGACAGTCATTTCTGAAACTGCAAGTTTTTCATCAACTGTGATTCACAGACCTTCACAAACATACAGATAACAGATAATACTGCAATCAGATCAAAACCCTAGAAAAACCGGATAATTAGATTCCTCGCATTTCTTTTTAAATGCCAAAAAAAAGGAATTTCATGAATTGGAGAAAGAAAGATAAATTACAGATTAAAAACAAAGAGGACAGCGTGAGAATTATTGATAAAATATTAAGATTGAACATACAAAAATAAACTCGCTGAAAAGAAGAATCTAATTACCTAAACATCCAAAAAATAGCATCAAACACAAACACCAAAATGCAATTCAGTTTCAGAGGACAGAAAAAAAACACATAAATTACCAAACTTTGGGGAAGGAGGAGGGAAGAGATCTCTGTAAACTTATATAATATATATATATATATATATATATATAATTATTATTATAAAGAAAGAGTAGCAATGGCAACAAGAACAACCAACCCATGAAACAAGTTGACAGGCAACATGGGTTTTCTGGAGAAAGTAAACTGGACAAAGCAATTCCCTATTCCTTTCCTTGATAAAATATCTGGATTTGTTTGTTTAAGTTCTGTTTTCCAGAAAAATAGAAGGACATGGAGAATTGAAGGTGATAAGGAGGAGACCTGTATATTCCGTATGTTGTTGTTTGTGTGATATTTTGCAGTGGATGGCTTCAAACTTCCACTACTTGTTCTTCTACAGTTAGTTTTTCAAGAAAAGTACCCTCCCCATGTTGGTGGACAATACAAAGACAAATACACCAAACTTCACGAGCCAAACTCGTTTGGGTTTTAATATATTCTTTTAGAAAAATATATTTTATATTTACAAAGTTACAAAAAATTAAATTTTGCTAATTTTATGAACTCTTTAAATTTTGATTGAAAACTGATGAACTTTCATGCGTAAATTTCATCTTGTGGCTAATTTCGGCATAACCCTTGAAATAAATTTGAACGTTAAGATGATTGTATGTCAAATTGCAATCCACAAGATGTTAAACATTATTATTTTTCCCTTATGAAAAACAATAAATATAAAAGTCACTCAATATTACAATATGATGATATTCCTCTTTATTTGTAAATAAGATATATTAGGTTTGAATCTTGTGAATGAGAAATTCGATACTAAAGTAGGTTGTTTATTGTGTGATTTAGCCGAACTCTCTCTTTCCTTAATGTAAAATATATAATATACTTAGTGTAAATTATATTATTGTACTAAAAAAACAATAAATATAAAAGACAAACAATGACGAGGGCAAAAGATAAAGGGCAGAGAAGAATGTGAAATGTCCCATCGAACAAAGTCCAAAGACGATGAGTTGGGAAATGGAATTGGGAATTGTGAAGAAAACGTTGAGTTTATTATGTCAGTTTGTACTTTGTTTTCTTCTCCGGAAGGATGCTGGTTTTGGAAGTATTTTCCTACTTTGGCCTTCAATTTTGGCAGATTATGATCATGATTTTCGTGCCTCCCACTTTCAGCTTCATTAACATTTGATGGGAGAGAAAAACAAAAGAAAGGAGATTTTTTAAGATGCTACGAAGTACTTGGTATTTTAAATGTTTTTTTAAGTGATTAGTTGGTGGTTTTATTATACTGAAAAAGATTCTCGTTTGATTCTTTTTTTGGGAATTCGGAGGATCTCATGATCTTATTCATTTATTATATATCGTGTGGTCAGTTTTTGTTACGACACCCCGACCTGGAATGTCCACTTGGACTCCGAATCGAGCTGTGTTGGCCGACACCTAGAATGTGACGAAGCCATAAAGTATAGTGATGTGGAAAATGTAAATAAATTTAAACCTAAAAGTGTCTAAAGATGAGTGCGATGTAAGCGGAAATGAGCTCATTTCACACGCGACGTCAGAGCATAAGTAAAGTACAGTAGTGTGGGTAAGGATCTTACCCTCGGAGGTAGCCACCTATATTGAGATTTGCCAAGAATCCTTGTCAATACGGACATTTAGCAGCTAAAACCTGAAAGGGTGCAAAAACAAGGGTGAGTGAACCTAAAAATAAAGTTTTTAATAAAAACCTTTTGAAAACGTTATAACCCATCGCCGTAAAACTCGTATAATTTCTCAAAAAATAATAATACATACGTATATAGAAATCATGCTCGAGAGCAGTGAAAACCGAGTTTATGCCATGTCAAGTATTTCAGCAATGAAATAAGTAAGTCAGGTGAAATAAGTCAATGTATAATGATATGCCAGCCGGAGTCACCTAACGTGATCTGTATGACTGAACCTATAGCTCATTAGATATGCTTGCACACGAGTCAGAACCACCTATTATGGTTTGTACGATAGGGCTGGGTGTAAATAAGTACGCTCAAGTGCTACGATCACGCGAAGGTTGTGCGAATAATCAATGGTCACTTATGAGTCGGAACCACCTAATGTGGTCTGTACGACAGAGCTATGCACCAAACTTGGATCCAAGGTGAGTGTGCGATGCAAGAGGTGAACATCACGTGAAGGAATATGCCATGGCCACGGGCGGGAGCACTAACACCGGGGTGCAAGATAATGAGCTCTAAATGCATCTACGTATAACCATAAACAATGCCACCACTAACATCATACAGTACTCACATGAAACTTACTTGGCCTCTGTAGCGTCATACAATAGTATGCATATACATACCAATGCATACAATAAAATGAAATGCAAGCATGACATGGCCTTTAAATGAATACGCTCATTTCAAAACAGTTTCTGGGAAAATGTAAAGCATATATACGTATATATATAGAAAACCAAAAACCCACTCACCTGGAGTCCGCGCTACAATTCCCTAGCACAAACATCAAGGCGTCACGAACAATCGGAGCTTAAAACAATTATCAAATCATATCTTAGAATTTTTATCAATAGAACATGTAACTTACATATCCTATTTGGGAAGATCCGTACGTCGGATTCCCTATCCGTAAGTTTCTAATACCCTCAAATATTACGTATTATAACGTATCAAAGTTTGGTGACGATCCAACGATCGGATTGTCGATTGCCATAATAATCAAGCGGCAGACCTTAATGGAACTACGTTCAAATGACAGAAATTCGTCAATCGGACATCACCAATGGAATCAAGGTATTCAATTTAGCCTAGGAAGGTCAGGGGACATCTCGGCCTACGCATCGCCGCACGCGGCAGTCGATCGTCCCGACTTGCCGGAAAATTCAACTATTTCTAAAAATTCTCAAACTTCACAGAAATGAAGATCTCAGTGAGTAAAGAAACTTTCATACCTGTAACTAAGACCAATTTGGCCGGGAAAAGCCTCAATTTCATGAAAACCCATCGGAACCCTAGGTTTAGGTGTATTTTGATTCGACCTCCAAACTCACGCCAATGCTCCAACCAAGGCTTGGGCTTTGTTCTTGGGCTCAAGGGAAGTTGTTTGATGGTGGGGATCGATGAGATTGCATTCAGGAATGGCGGATTGCCTCCTAAAGACTCACGGGTTGCCATCGGAGTCGACGGCTTCGAACTTCATAATTTAGAGCCCAATTCCTTTAATTTTTGGGTGGAATGTGAAGAAGAGATGTTGTGGGGTTGATCCTAGGTTGTGGCGACGGTCAATTCACCTTGAAATCGCCGAAATCACCATTGGGTTGAGCAGGATTGTTGGGTCAAGGGAGAACCGGTTCGGTTCCCTTCCTTCTTCTCCTCCCTCATTTCCCCCCTTTCTCTCTTCTCTGGTTAGTCACTCATTTCTTTCTCCTTTTCCGATTAGTCTCACATCCCCCTCATTTCACTCATTTCTTTTCTCTCTCAACCATCCATTTCTTCTTTCTTTTAAATCTCGGCCACCTACGTGGCTTTCCAGATTAAGTTCCAAAATCTGGAGCTTTCTAGAAAATAACCAATTTACTAAAATGCCCCTAATTTTAAACGTTAATATCTCCTTCATTATAACTCCAAATCACAATATGTTTGCACCCACGTGTTCGTAGTGATGATTACTACGATGATACGCCAAGAAAATGAATTTTACGTAACTCGACAAGGCAGTCAACAAAAGTCAATGCATTTGCCATGAAGGGCATTTTCGTAAATTCACTTTATAAAATCCTAATAATTGGGGATGGGTCGTTACACGTTAGGTACTATTTATATTTAATTTTAAATTTTAAATGATTTCTGACCGCACGATGTACGATGAATGGATACGATCACGAGATCCCCCGGATCCCCAGGAAAATGATCCTCGTTGGATCTGGATCCTTTTCCTTATTATACAATCTATTTTTTTGGAGGTAATGAAGACTTACAGAGATATTTTAGTCTTCTCCAGCACAATCGTGCAATTTATCAGCACAAAAAATTGAACCTGAAACGGGTCATGCCAAATACGCGTGTGAAATTCATCTCCAACCACTGAATCACCCCAAGTAATTGGTACTTTAAATGTTTTAATTCTTAAATTTTTATTTTAAAAAATTTTAAATTTAGCAGTCTCAAAATTTTTTGAAAGAGATTTATTCAACAAAATAATAAAAATAAGGGGAGTTTTTTTATATATTGATTCATTTGATTCGTGCTCGAGCTAGATGATAAAAATTATCATGTTTAGTTCTTTTAGGGGATGATCTAGAGTAATTCACATATCCTCATAACAAAAAAAAAAACTGACTTGAATGATCTTGTGTTAAGAGCTAAATTGGCTAAAGGGATGTGTCATAATTATTACGGAGAGTCTACCGACTCCTACTATCGTCCATGTACGATCCATACTAGATCTTACCACTGCCCATCCTACCTTCTCTACGTTCTTGATAGCCCATCTTTGTCTCAGTAGAGTTTTTCAGTGGCATGTTTCAGTCATCTTCTCCATTACTTGAAAAAAATGAGTCATCAATTCAAGTACAAGATACTATCATTACCACATGAACAATTAAATATCCATGCAACGATCCACTTGCAAGAACGGAACTCTACCAAGCTATATCTCCGGAGCCAAGTGAAAGAGATTTTATTCAACAAAATAATAAAAATGAGGGGAGTTATATATATATAATTTTTTTGTGTGACAGGGTTGGAGGACAGAGATACTTTGGCTTTGGAAGAGGAAAAAGACGCCACACGTGTGTATGTGTGTGTCTCTGTCATACAGTCAAAGCTGGGGATGCTTTCTTTGTGGGTGCTGGTTTCTTGACGGTACGGCAGGCGCTGCTCCCGCTGGTACCAATCTAATATTATGCACTCGCCCGGTCCCCGGTTTCGGCTTTTGGGCTTATCACCACTTTGCCAATTCTTTTTTTTTTTTTTTTTTTTTCCCCAAGAGGGTTATAAGTTATTTTATATTATCAAAATTTAGAGTCAGTTTCACATTGAACAACGAGGTTTTAATTTTTTAAAAAAAATATTTTTGCTAATTACTCTCAAGTGAGAGGTCGCACTTGGTGCGATGGCAAGTGCCTTCGCCCATGAGCGGTAGGTCTCGGGTTCGAGACTTGGGAGCAGCCTCTCCATAAATGGGGGTAAGGCTAGCCGACATTCACCTCTCCCAGACCCTGCGTAAAGCGGGAGCCTTGTGCACTGGGTACGACGACTCTCAAGTGACAATGATGTTCATTACTTTATTTATCAT